AGATTCGCAGTCTGAGAGTTTCTGATGACGCTTTGGTGGGGAAAATGGAAATCCCAGTTGGGAGGAAAAGAAAAAAGAGTCTGCCTACCAAAGAAAAGCAGCAATGGTTATGGCCTGGGAGAGGGGCCATGTGAATATACGCAAGCAAACGGGAGATGGACAAAAAAAAAAAAAAAAAAAAAAAAAAGGACCAGAGACATTTCTCTTTCCCTGCAATAGTTGCATACTTTTGCACCATTTTTTAGACAGAGTATTTACGAGTTGTCCATCACCAAAGGCCAGCAAGATTGATGAATTCACGTTCAAGTACAAACTACAAAGGTGCATGGAGAAGGAATCCCATCATCCCGGCTCCACCAAGCTAAAAGATAAAAGAAAAGAAAATGAAGAAAAAAAGGAAAAGAAAGCGCTCCTGTAATTAGGAAATGTGGTGGTATTATTGATAGTCGTATATGTATATTTGCGCGTGGCGGAGTGCATGGAATTGCAGAGAGTCGGGGTTGGGTTGGGGGATCTGGTCGACAAATAAATTATTGGAAGGAAGGCGTAACAATTTCCAAAGCCTAGACGCATGGCATCGGCATTGGCGCGGTGCATTATTCTGCAAGTCAATAGTCATCCCGAATTTCAATTCATACGGAACACGTCAATTAATATGCATGGCCCCATCTCCCTCCTTTATATTTTTATGCTACTACTAGTGACCAGTGTCCATCATTCTTTTTTGTTTTTAGGGATAATTGCAGAAACCTCCCTGAGGTTACTAAAATTCTTTGCAAATTCAGTCCAAACGATTAAAATATTCTTTTAGGGAGTGAAATTAAAATTTTTTATCAAATTTATCCTTTGTACTACATGTCCAATAAATGACAAAACACTACAAATCAAGTAACAATTAATAAATTTTAAGGAGTATAGTTTATAGGTAAATATGCATTACCTATTTAAAGTACTGGCTCTTTATGGGTATTTTATTTTCAAACATTTAATTTAATACAAATATTTACACTCAAATACATATTTGTATTTACTTTCAAATATTTAATTTTTGTTAAATACAAAAACTACAAATCTCTCTTCCGTAAAAATATTAATATAACATTTTTTTAATTTTAGTTACAAACATTTATGTATTTAACATAAATTAAATGATTCAGTACCAATAAATAGTCAATACTTTAGTCATGTAATGGATGAAAGCCATAAAGAATTAATACTTTATGGGTTATTTTTTTTAAAAATATTTAATTTATATTAAATAAATAACCTACCGATTTCCTTTTTGCAAGAATATTCCTGTAACACTTTTGAATTTTACTAACAAACATTGATATATTTATCATAAATTAAATGTTTGAAAGTAAAATATCCGTAAAAAATTGGTACTTTTAATGAGTAATGCGTGTTTGCCTATAAAGAGTCGGTAACTATTTAAAGTACCGGTTCTTTAAGGGTATTTTACTTTCAAATATTTAATTTAATACAAATATTTACGCTCAAATACAAATTTGTATTTACTTTCAAATATTTAATTTTTGTTAAATACAAAACCTACTAATCTCTTTTCCGTAAAAATATTAATATAACACATTTTCAATTTTAGTTACAAATATTTATGTATTTAACATAAATTAAACGATTCAGAATAAAATGCATATAAAGAGTGAATACTTTACTAGTGTAATGGATGAAGGCCATAAACAATTAATACTTTATGGGTTATTTTTTTAAAAAAATATTTGATTTATATTAAATAAATAACCTACCGATTTTCTTTTTGCAAGAATATTCCTGTAACACTTTTTGAATTTTACTTACAAATATTGATATATTTATTATAAATTAAATATTTGAAAGTAAAATACTCGTAAAGATCTGGTACTTTAAATGAATAATGCGTGTTTACCCATAAATTACACTCCTTGAAATTTATTAATTGTTAATTGATTTATAGTACTTTGTCATTCATTGGATATGTAGCACAAAGGGCAAATATGGTACAAATTTCTAATTTCACTCCCTAAAATAATATTTTAATCGTTTGGACTAAATTTGCAAATGATTAGTAACCTCAGGGGAGGTCAGTGTAATTTTTCAAATCACAGGAGAGGTCAGTGCAAATGTCAGAAACCTCAGGAGAGGTTTATGCAATTATCCCTTGTTTTTATTATTTGTCTCCGCAATTCCATCATATTTTATGTGTGGTTGCACGTTTGTTTGGATAGTTCCATTATTCCAAATAATATCTCGCTTGCATTATAAACACATTTTTTAACCCATCTTTTTATATTTCTAATCATTTTTTTATTTCACATACATCACATCACAAAAAATGTTACAGCAATTATTCCAAATAATACCCTATCCAAACTAACCACCGGGGTACTTACATGCAACAGCACTGTAGGAGCAGTATCTTCATAGCATGCTTCTTATTCCACTTCCTCTTTTTTTTTTTAAAAAAAAAGGTTGGCATAGCTTGATAATTTCTTTAGTTATTTTGCGTAAAATTCATATAAACTAGGTTTATTCTACAGTTTTTGAGATAATTGGTATTTTGATTGATTGAACTTGGTTACGTACTTACATAGCATATGAATGCAGAACTGTATTTGCACCGACTTCATAGCTATAATATCGCGCTTGTTCCCCACTTTTGTTCTTCCCCTGTAAATGCGCACTTGAAATCCTCGGTGACATGTTTTCTATGCCAATCCAATGCCACCAATAGTATTGCGTCAAGTGTCATGTTATTATTTACACTTGTGTTAAATCAAGTCAATTTAAATTATTAGAAAATTAAAGTGTAAATAATAACATGACACTTGGCACAATACTATTAGTGGCATTGAATTGGCATAGAAAACATGTCACCGAGGATCCCAAGTGGTAAATGCGTGCTTTGTTTGCACTATTATTGCTATTTTTTTTTTCTTGAGGTTGGCCTCCGAAATTGAATTTCAGCAACTGCTCCTCTTTATTTCTTTGCACTACTTCAATTTTTCAGGGTTCTATGAAATATAAATTATGTATTAGGGCCTAGTTTTTTTTTTTTCTCACGTATGAGAGAAAAAAAAAAAAAAGAAATCTCACGTTTGAGAACGAGAATTTTGAATAAGAAAACAAGAATACCGGAAAAGTAAAAATATTGAGCACGAACTCGAAGAAATAGACTTGTTGACCGAACACCACCCACGGTGGTCCAAACATCTCAACTCCACGCAAAGGAGCTTTGATGGGCCATAAGTCCATTAAGCCTCCTTACCTTAGTTATCTCCCAATCTAAGATTCGACTGTGTATTCAAGTCCAAGGAAAGTCGACTTCTTGGGCCCAACTGTCTCGTATACTCATTCAAGGCCTAGCTGTTCACTTTCCGATGGAAATCCATTTACAAAAAGTGACATTAGGATTCATTTTCGTTTTCACGATTCTAACAACCTCGCCAAGCATAGATCTCATTCTTTTCTTTTTTGTAACCCCAAAAAAGCTAGTACTGATTTGCTCTGCTCTGCTAGTACTTAAAAAAAATAAACTTTGGATTCCTTGGCGGATCAGGAGGAGCAGGTTTTGACTTTTTCTGGAGCATTTGCTAAAACTAAAATAATATATAGACGTAAATGATCTACAAAATAAAAGTGCTGCAATTAAGAGGAAATAGTACTAAAAATGAGTAATGAGAGAGGGGGCCGTGGGTCGGCGGCATATTATCGTCTCTCGTCTTGGGGGATCCTATGTTCCAATTCCGGCTGCTCCTCGACAACAACTAATTATCTATGCCATTTGAGTAAAGGCTCCTCCTGGAATTGAATTGGCTTCATTTCCATAATTGTTTTAATCTTCAGGTGAGGATAGATCTTCTAACAAATGAACTTAAATCCTCCAGTCTGCTCTGCTACAATAATCGCCTCAATTCACATACCCATTGCTTTACATTATTATTATTTTTTTATGTATATAGTGCCTATTTATTAATTCCAACAATTTTGCACTTAAAAAAGTCCAAGAATTAGATTTGAACTTTACGCATACTGCTGCAAAACAAAATGTAAATGTTGGAGCTTGATTGATTCAACTTCGTTCTAGTTCTAGTTCTAGTTCTAGTTCTAATTCTAATTCTAATTCATGCTGTAAATAACTAGTAGGGAGTGTTTGGATACAAAATTTTTCTCAAATAATATTTTGTTTGTATCATAAACATATTTTTCAATCTACCCTTTTATATTCTCAATCATCTTTTTCTCTCACATATATCACAACATAAAAAATATTATCATAATTATTTCAAATAATACCCCGTCCAAACAACTCACTGAACTCAGTACGTACTAACTATCGCATGCATATGCATAGTAGGTACGTACTTAAACTCAAATTCATTAGCTCCCGAAAGAAATAGCAGTGACTTGTCTAGTAGTAGTAGGAAATAGGAATACGACTAGGTAGGAAGCAAGAATGACAGGATGTGCTAGGAATACGACTTAAACGAGTTGGAAAATCACCAAATTAGACGCGCGCCCACGCGGGTGATTATTGAATTAGTGGTTAGATTGAATGATTCAAGGCCGCATCCATCCCTCTGCCATTTCCTCTCTCATTTCCCCCCGCCCCCTCCCTTTCTTTCCTTGCTGCTGCTGCTCCCAAGAGCAGTCTCTTTGTTGTCCCCCATTTCTCTTCCTCTCTCATTATCTCTGGGTGGTGGGGGATGACGTAGAGATGCTATGACTGTCAAAATTATCTTTCGTCTAAAATAAAATTCATTTTCATTACAGTTTTCATCTCAGAAGTTCTTCTAATTTTTTGGAGTTATTACGTTTGGAAAAAAAATAAAATCTGCTCAATTCCAATTTCCATATTGTCAATTTCCTACTTCTCACCTATCTATCAAAAGATCCGCTGTTCTTCTTCAATCGGGATGAAAAATCTGGGAGTTTGGTGTTAATATTAGAAAATATCAGATGCGCGGAGGCTTGGAGGGACCGATTTGCTGTTGGATTGTTACATGGAATCCCCTTTGGTTACTTGGGTCGGTATCACTTTTGGCGTCTTGTTTTCTTTATTTGTTGTTGAATCCCAAAATGTAGACACTGTAGCACCACCTCCGTCTCCACCGCCTCCGCCATCTCCTGCACCTCCACCTCCACCTCCACCTCCACCGCCTCCGCTATCTCCACCCCCGCCATCGGCCCCACCTCCACCTCCTCCCTTTCATCCGCCTCCGTCACCTCATCCACACTCTCCTCCACCACCGCAAAAGGGCCTCCCTCCAGCTCCTCCAAAGAATAATAACTCAGATAGAAATCATACCAAACATGAGAAGCCCCATGCTAAACTAAACCCACCACCGCGGAAAGAGAAAAGACCGCCACCAGCACCAGCACCACCACCAAAAGAGAAAAGGCTCAATTTTGGCAAGAAAATCGGACTATTTTTCATCGGTATTGCAACAATCTTGCAGGTGTGCGTGGTGACGTTCTTGGTATTCAAAAGAAAACAACTCTTAAGGGCAGAAAGCAGATTTTAAAAAAAGGGCCAAATTCATTTATCCTTTTTTCTCTCGTTTTCTCTTTCTCTTTGATCGAGCATGCATACCTTTGCTGGAGGATAGGCATTTTATTCATTCAGCGGACAGATGATGGATTCATATATGGATTCGGATTGAAGGATTTACTGAGCATCGGTCTCTGCATATCATTATTGCTCTTGTGAATTGGTAATTCTCGATTAGCGTTCTTTTTCCATTTCCTTTTTTTTTTCTCTCCTTATTTCTTTACCTGGTAAATTAGTTAAACTAGGTGGTAATTTTGTTTCTTTGTTATTTAATTTTTTAACCTGACCACGTATTGTGAATATCGACGAGACACTCGTCAGAACATTTTTTGCTTCTGCAAAATTTAAACCTCTCATGTCTAGCTTGTTTGAATTGGTTTGCTTGTTGAGGATGTGAAATGGAAGTTTCTCATGTTGGTTGCCTTAATTTTGGATGATGATTTTTGTGAATTTGACTAGAATGCTTGTGCTGCTGTGAGGTTTGGGGGAGCAAGAGTGGGAAGTGACTAACTCTTAGAACTTGTTGGTACGTGAGTATAACAACACGATCGCGATTTAAAAGAATGATATATTAAAGGCTTTTTTTTTTTTTTTTTTTGAAGGATGATATATTAAAGGTTGAATGAGGAAATCGATGTTTAATGTATACAATGTGCATGGATCACGATTACAAAAAGATAGGAGTGCTCATAGTACACATCAAACCAGAGGATGTACAATTTTTCTCAGAGGCTAACCAAAGAACTAGGATTTAATAGGCAAAAGTAAATATGTTAAGTATTGAGCACCTAAACGAACTACTGTAAAACATGCTAAAGAATGATTATACTTTTCAACTTTTTGGTTGCTCGCCTTCCTGCCTCACCCCCCAGGCATGCAGCAAGAAGCTAGGGACTATTATAACCTATTGCTTTGTTTCCTGATGGATGCATAAGAAACTGCATTGCCTGCGCAACTGGTGGTTTAGAAAGTGGTAGTAGGCACGTGAATCTCTTCAGTGCTTTATATATTGCTGAATGGACTAGCAATCATTCTAAGAAGCATCTTAAGGACCAAGCACCTCTGCCCATTTTTTTTCCCTTGTATAGGAATTATGCTGTCAATTGTTGTTTCATGTAAATCATCTTAATAAATGTACTTTTAGCATGTCTTTTGCTGGTGAAATTGAAAAATGATATCAGCGAATAGTGGAGGGCAATATTATTTTTTTTGGTATCTTTTCATGAGTTACAGGAGAGAAAATGGACTTACAAAACGAAATCTTTTCTGTAGCTGTACATGTGGTACAAACCGAGAAATGCTATTGGATTCTGGCAGATGTTTGCATGACTTTGTGATATGAACTCGACTTGGATTGATCTTTCTCTTCCACCTTGATAATCATTGTGACCGCACTGAACTTAATGTTGCTTTATACTCGTGATATTAGGTCAATTGTCATAGGCGTGCCAACTCATGTTCTTCATTTTTGTATTGTAGGTGATAGAAGAAACAAATGTTTCTAGATGATATCCTGCCTCTGGTTCTCAATTTGACATGACTTGTGTGGATGGAGATAAAAATTGCCTTAAGTTAGTCTGGATGAAAACTCAATAGGAATATCAGCCTACTGATTTTCGAGGTGTGATTTGTGGTTGCTACTATTGTAACATGTGGTCCTATATATAACCTTTTCATTTTGTCTGTTCGTAAATAAATAAATATATAAAAAAATAATGAAAGTATATGATATTTAATTCTGTCTTGTGCTATGACATTTGGATTGCAAATACATGAGCACATATGCTGCAGGCTTGGTACTTGTATGAGGATATGCAAACAAAGATTGCGGGGCTTAGTTGGCAAAATGTATGGATGAAAAAGGTACTTGACTTTTCTGGAGTAATTGTTGTCGAGAAATTTTAGTCACTTAATAGGTGTTAAGTCTTGTTTTGTACTTAACCGCCATATCATTTAGGTTGTTTTAGATTTTCAAAGATAGGATTTGTTGTTAAAATTTGACTAATGAAAAGCAGAGTAGAAAAGGCATAAGATTTGTTGAGTGCTCTGAAGGCTAAAATTTGCTGAAGCGGAAGTCGTCACTTTAGTGTCTACACTACTAACAAGAAGAAAAAAGGACTTGGACGAAACTTTAAGTTACTGAAGACAAAAAAAAAAAAAAAAACAGTTTTTCGACGAAAAAAAAAAACAGTTTTTCGAATATGGAGCCTGAATTTTTTGAGTGGTGTTTGACCATAGGAATACATGTCTGTTCTCGTTTCTGCATCCCCTGAATGCAAACATCTTGAACAGTATGGTAAATTTTATAAGAGAGGAAATCTTGGTGGGATTTGCGGAAATTATGTGTTGAGACTTTGTCAAATGTATGTACAAGTACCAAATTCATGGGAAGGTATGATCGTGTCTGTGGGTCTCGGATAGCCTGATTTTAGTTCCTGTTAGAGGATCTTGGCTATGGGATTTGGGTAGCCCTTCGCAGATGAATAGGGATACTTCTTATTGGCTGCCGGTAAAATGCCTTCCAAGGATTCTAGATCTCCCTCTGCTTGCATTTAGCTAGATTGTTCTAGTTGAGGAATTTAGTCAGTGATTTCTATGGATAGGTGTGTGCCATAAAATGCTTCCATGTGAATGCTGGAGAGGTTGCCTTATCATCTTCATATTCAGTCACCTATCAGCCAATTACTTCCAGCAGAAAGATCCGTCTGCTTCAAGTCACTAACAATCGATTCTTAAATGTTCAACGTAATTGCTTAAGGGCAGGCATTGGTAGGGCCTGTGATTCTAGATAGTATAATTTTCCCTTTTCAGGTGGTGCCAGAGTGCAGTAATGTTCAAGTGGCCTCAAGACTTTTCATTCATTTACCAGCTAATGGTCTTCCATGCATAATTTTTTTTTATTAAAAAGGAAAAAAAAAAAAACCACAGCTGCCTACCTCCGTTGGTCGTTCTACTCTTTTTCCTTGTCTTAGCTTTTGAAGCATCTGTTCAAGATCAAAGCCCCAGAAGACACTGCAGGATGCTCGTGCAAGAATCCTGCAAGTGTCACATCTTATTACTACTTAAAAAACATTCTGGAAATCATCAGACCATCGCAGTGATGAGTGATACTTATCGCCAGGCTGACGGGATTTCTAGCCTGTATATCATATCAACTCACCTATCATCATCAATCAATTACTTCCAGCAGAACTTTGCTGTCTGTTCATCCATCCGTACGAATAGAGAAGTGATCATCGATTCTTCAATACGGCAACATGCGTGCATGGATGCTTCAAGGCACCAACGGTGCAGTGCTTGTGGCTCTCATTGCCCACGAGCTTCAAGCGGTGCCTTGCCACTCAATGGACAAGTGGTTCTCAAGCCTATATATATATATACATATATACATTCCTGATTCCCAGCCCTCCAGGCTCAATCGCTGCAAACAAATTGAAAGCAGAGAAAAGATGCTTCAATTATTCTTTCTATTCTTTTTCCTTGTCTTTACTTCTGAAGCATCGGTTCAAGACTTCTGTGTAGGAGACCTTAATGGCCCAGAAGGGCCTGCAGGTTACTCTTGCAAGAGTCCTGCTAACGTCACAGTGGATGATTTTACGTTTACGGGCCTGGGAGCGGCCGGAAACACCTCAAACATCATCAAAGCTGCCGTTAACTCCAGCATTTGCAGCTCAATTCCCGGGCGTAAATGGCCTGGGAGTATCTATGGCGCGATTGGATTTAGCGCCTTGTGGCTTGATACCAATGCACACCCACCCTGGGGCAACCGAGCTGCTGTTTGTTGCTCAGGGATCCATCCAATCTGCATTCATCTCTTCAGCCAATAAGGTGTACTTGAAAACGCTGAAAAAAGGCGATATTATGGTATACCTGCAAGGCCTGCTGCATTTCCAGATAAATGCTCGTGGTATGCCTGCCATTGCTTATTTGAGTTTCAGTAGCCCCATGCCCGGCCTCCAAATTACAGACACGGCGTTCTTTGGAAACGACTTGCCTTCCGAACTGGTCACGAAGTCGACGTTCCTGGATGCTGCTCAAGTTAAGAAGCTTAAAGCTGTTCTTGGTGGAACTGGCTAATCCAAAAAAATTATGCCATTGCTTTCCCACATTCAGTTCTTCTCCTTTGTGCCCAGCAACGTGGTTTTCATTCAGACATTATTTTAGCCCATCTGTGTCATAATAATTTCCAGTAGTATTCTGAAATGACGAGTGCAAACATTTCCAAGTTGTAAGCTAAACAATATACGTAGTATTGATTGAAAATCGGTGGAATGAATGGCTGGGGACAGATTCATATTTCATTGCGCCTGGATCCGTACGTGACACAAACATCCCTGCTACCCTTTGTGTAATAATAATAACTATTAGAGAGGCTAATTGCTTAAAATATACGTTAAAAAAAAAAATATCGCACAAATATATTTCTGACACACACCATTTCTCATTTTATACCGGCCGTGCTGATTGGGCACGGCCGCAGAACAAATTGGCAGAAACTCTGCAAAAATGTCAGTGGGACAAGGGCCCACAATTTTTTTTTTAATTAGCCTGTCCCCAGCCGTGCTGACTGGGCACGGCTGGGACAGGCGGCAAAAAAAAGGGCCAGCAAATGGGATGTATTTGGGGACATAAAATTTGTAGCAAAAGTGAAACGAAAGGCCATACAAATTCACCGCACTAGCCTGCCCTTTTACTTTCTTTCACTCTTTCCTATGCTCTTTATTTTTTGGAAGAGATACCTAAACGATTTTATTGCCCTAATCTTAATCAAAGATTTTGATTTTATAACTTAAAGATTTTGCTGTGGAGTCTTATAACACTTAAGTTAGGAAGATCAAATTTTTAAAGTGGAAATGGAAGATTATTATATTTTTCAAACTGCAAATTAGTATAATTCACACACACACAAATATATATATATATATATATGTATTAGTATTCAAGAAAAGAAAAGAAAAGAAAAACAATCAGCACGCCGTGGTGATGTGTGCACGCATGTCAATTTGTATAAATTTGTCAATTTGGCGACGTGCAAATTTGACTGAATCAGATTAGTCTTGGATGCATACATCAACTGCGTGTCCAGAATTGACTGGGGAGGGAAGACCACAGTTGGTATGCTTTACTTACTCATTACTGCAACTACCACTACAGGTCCAGTGGTTGTATGACGTTGACTACCTGACAGCTGAATTCAGGGGACAAATGTATTCATTGCAATTGGCACGTCGTTCGCAAATCTTTCAAGTTGTATTGACAAAAGAATCAGACCATCCATCCGAATCTGGTTCCGTCTTGCACTCCTCTCGTACGCACGGAGGAGGGGTGGAACGTTGTCAGAGACAATTATGGTTAAGTTAAAAAAATTTATGCGCCTCAGATTATTTTCTATAGTTCGATTTTTATGCCGCGTGAATTCATAAAAATATTATTTTTATATTACTCGTTGTTATTCTATTGTTATATCTTGTACAGATGATATTACATCGTCGATTTTCACGTCATATAAATTCACAAAAACATTGGCTCCGTTTGGATTGTAAATTATTCGAGATATTTTTACTGTAGCACTTTTTGTGATGTGATCTCTGTGAGATAAAAAGGTAATTGGAAAGATAAAAAAGTGTATTGAAAATTGTAATGATGATGTAAGCAAATAAATTTTGGCTAATAAATCTCTATCCAAATAAACTCAATTTATTTTTGTGTTAGTCGCTGTTATTCTATTGTTACATCTTATACAGATGATATTACATCGTATGCAAATGATGTTACATCCTCTGAAACGATTGGTCTGACAACCGTTCCGCCCCGGATCCCGTACACTCATACACTGCTATGTACTGTATATATAGGATATAGCACTACTACGCACTATATAGCTTTCTTGAAGAAAAACTTTCTACCCAATAGCGTAGCAGTCTGGAAAGCTGACAAAAATTCATTGTCTGAAAAGCTGCCGTGCCATTCAGCGAAAAGGGACAGAGGAGTTTGCCGTCGCAAGAAAATTCAAAACTCCAATCCCATCGCCGTCTCCAATGCTTTAAGATAGTACTTTGTATACCATACACTACAGCCGGTGCTAGTATTATCCTGTTCCAAAGGCGCCAAAGTCAGCAGTTTGTTTGTGGGTCTAAAGGCGGGCTGCAATTAAACAAAAGTAGCATCATCATCATCGCATTCCTACGTACGTGACACAAGAAGAAGAGAATAAGTCAGTAATCAAACGAATCACAGGCATCATATGCCTATTCTTCGTCTTCTTCTTCTTCTTGCAGAATACCCAGACTCCTCCGTCTTTAGAAAACCTCAAATAAAAACGTCATAACTTCCAAAACACCAGCACGCCAAGAGTATTATCAAATATGCGCTTCTGTGTCTTTTCCAAAGCCAACAACGCCACTGTCCCATTTCATTATTTTAACTCTTGAAGACTAGTAGTACGTATTTAACTTTCATAAATTCCACTCCACATTAATCAACCTCTCTTAAAAACAAAAAAAAAAAAAAAAAGTCTTCCTATTTTGCATGCTCCTCCTCCTCCAGATCAAATGACCAAGTACCATCATCAACAATTACTCTCCCACCCTTCCTCCTCTCTCTCCCAGCCCATCCTCGATTCCTCCAAGATGATAAACGAAGAACCAGACCCCAACCCCATGTCCGATCACAACATTTTGGAGTGGATAGAGGGCTCCTTGCCTTTCCTCCCTCCAATCTTCGATGATCCTTATGATTCCTGGTGGCAGCTTCATGTTCCAGCTCCGGACCAGGAACAGATTAACCGCTGCTCGACTTCTTTCGACAGCAACGTCTCCACTGTTACCGCCGCGACGAGCGCTACCCTCCCTGAACCTCCTGCCATTCCCTCCGACCATCCACGGCCGTCGGATTCTTCCAAGAAACGGAAAGCGTCCGACGACCATGCTCCCAAGACATCCCAAATCTCCCGAAAGAGTCAGAATCGTCGGAACAACAACGAGGGTGATGAGGGGGAAACGATTGTGGAACAAGGCCTCGTTCCAGCCAGGAAGTCTTCTGGGAGTAAAAAGGCCGCAGCCAAGTCCGGAGGCAATACCTGTAACAACAAAGACGGTAGGTGGGCAGAGCAGCTGCTCAACCCTTGTGCGGCTGCCATTACAGCCTCAAATCCAAGCCGGGTTCAACACCTCTTGTACGTCATCAACGAGCTCGCCTCCTTAACCGGTGATGCCAACCACCGGTTAGCTGCTCATGGGCTCCGGGCGCTGAAGCATCACCTGGCTTCCCCTGGCTCACCGGTCACTTCAGCCGGAAGTACTACTTTCGCTTCTACCAACCCAAAGTTCTTTACTGAGTCTCTTATCAATTTTAGCGACATCAATCCCTGGTTCCGCATCCCCAACAGCATAGCCAACTCCTCCATCCTGCAAATTCTCCAGGAACAGAATCAACCTCGAAATCTTCACATTGTCGACGTTGGAGTCTCTCATGGCATTCAGTGGCCAACTCTCCTCGAAGAATTGACGCGTCGATCAGGTGGACCGCCTCCTTTGGTTCGTATTACGTTAATCACTCGAACCAATCACGAAGAACAATCACGGAACACGCCATTCGCCGCAAGCCCTTCGGGATACAATTGCTCCTCACAACTCCTGGGTTTTGCTAAAAAAATAAACATCAATCTTCAGATCAACAGACTCGACAACTTCCCGTTGCAGAATCTCAATTCTCAGGTCATAAAGTCGTCCCCAGATGAGACCTTGATCATTTGCACCCAGTTTAGGCTCCATAATCTCAACCACAACAACCC